CGTGGGGAGAGGAGCCCAGGCTGGAGCAGGTTTGCTGGCCGGGCTGGTGACCCCGCAGGGACCCACGCTGGAGCAGTCTGCTCCTGAGGGACTGCACCCCGTTGGGAGGGATGGACCCAGGCTGGAGCAGTTCATGGAGGGCTGTCTGCCATGGGGGGACACCACACTGGAGCAGGGGAGGAGTGTAAGGAGTCCTGCCCAGAGGAGGAAGGAGCGGCAGGGACAGCATGTGATGAACTGACCCCAACCCCATTCCCTGTCCCCCTGCACCACTCGGGGAGGAGGGAGAGAAATCGGGAGTGAAGTTGAGCCTGGGAAGAAGGGAGGGAGAGGTGTTTTAAGATTCAGGATTTTTTTTTTAACTTCTCCTACTCTGATTTGAATTTAGGTAATAAATTAAACTAATTTTCCCAAGTGGAGTCTGTTTTGCCCATGATGGTAGCTGGTGAGGGATCTCTCCCTGTCCTTATCTCCACCCATGAGCCTTTTGTTATATTTTCTCTGCCCAGTCCAGCTGAGGAGGGCAGGGACAGAGCAGCTGGGTGGGCACCCGGCATCCAGCCAGGGTCACCCCATCACAAGGAGCAAGGTCCCACAGCCTTAGCTGTGTCTCACCCCGTCACCTGCTGATGCCGCTGTCCACGAGCGGCTTCTCAGGCCCCAGCTGCTGCCACAGACTCCTCTGCAGAGATGTTGGAGCTGGTGCTGGCACCCTCAGCTTTAACCCAGCTGAAAGTCCTAAATCCCCTTTCCCTGTTCCTCTCTGCCTCTGCTTACTACACAGAAACCTTCAACATTTAAATCCCGTCTGTGAAGGGCACCGATGTTAGAGGGATTAAGAGCGCACCAGTTTACCCAAGCCCAGCCAGTCGATATTCCCAGGCGCCACCTGACTTCATAGGGGAAATATTCAGGTACGACAAGCCACCGCCAGTGCTAGGTGAGGTTTGGGCTTAGCTGCAGAGAAAAATTCTCCTGGCGTAGTGAGCCAGGGGCTGGCTCTGCATCCCCTCCAGCACAAGCCCCAGCCACTGCAAGGCAGGAAAGTGCTCCCTGTGCTGATACAGGCACGTTGGGGAGAGGGTCCTCGGGCTGATGGTCCATCCCAGGTATCCTGGTTCTGGCTGGGATGGAGTTAATTCTCTTCCCAGCAGTTGGCACAGTGCTGTGGTTTGGATTCAGGATGAGCAGAATGTTGGTAACCCCCTGATGGCTCAGTAGGTGCTGAGCAGGGCTTACACCAGGCAAGGACTTTTCAGCTTCCCCTGCTCTGCCAGGGGCACAGGGAGCTGGGAGGGGGCAGAGCCAGGACAGCTGACCCCAACTGGCCCCAGGGCTATTCCAGACCGTAGGACCTCATGCTCAGGGCAGGAAGTTATCCAGGGGGAGAGGGATCGCTGCTCGGGACAGGCCGGGCATCAGTCAGCAGGTGGTGAGCAATTGTATTGAGCATCACTTGTTTTGTATATTGTTTATTCTATTATTATTTTTTTCCTTCCCTCTACATTTTTATTAAACTGTATTTGTCTCAACCCACGAATTTTACCTTTTTTTTTCTGATTCTCTCCCCCGTCTCACTGAGGGAGCGGCTGTGTGGTGTTCAGCTGCCTGCCAGGTTAAACCACACCGCCAGGCACCATGCCTGCAGCAGTCCTTGGAGGGGCTTGCACTGACTCCAGATGGGAAGAATTGAACCACTAAGGTCAGGATCCAGCTCCCAAGCTCCATACACGTACCACCAGCCCCCAGCTCCCACCACAGATGGGTTCCCACTCCTCCAGCAGCTCCCACACCTGACCGGTGGGGGAAGAGGCAGGAAACAGACTTGAGAAGCCCTAAAGAAAAATGCTCCCCAAACTGTCAGGCTTTCACCCAGCCCCTCCGGCTTTCCATCCTCTTTCCAGGGATCCCCAGAAGAAAAGCAGAACAGCCCCAGTCAATCTGTGACTGATCATCTCAGGGCTTTCTGTCTTGTGTCATGGATCAGGTTTGCATTTTTGGGTTTGAACACTCTCTTCTGCTCATTAGTGGATCTGGGAAGGACCAACCCTGAAGCCTAGAAATGACCACATCCCTGGAGCACCTCCAGACACTTCCCTTGCTGCAAATAGTGACAAGTGAGGCTCAGGAGTCCCTAGAGGACCTGGCTGGGATAGGCCATGTGGTGCAGGGAGAGGACCTGGTTTCTGCCATATCAGGGAGCCTGGATGAGAGGCTGGGGGCATCTCTGATGGCTTGCTGATGCACAGCCATCTGAAAGCAAAACTGGGGCCAAATGAGTCCTCTCAGGCCCCACCCAGGCCAGCCTCCTGGCCAAATCAGGGCTGCCTCCAGCAATACCCCCTGCATTGTCTGGGACCTGGGAAGACACAGCAGCCCGAACCAACCATGGGACTGCTGCCAGCCTCCGAGGGCTGCAGAGAGGCTCTTTCCAGGGAGGAAATTTCTGGCCGCATACAAATGCCCAGAGATTTCACAGCTGTAAATCGGAAAGCTGACTGACTGCAAAAAAAAAATGGACTTTGGAAGGAAAGGTCGTCTTCCGACCCAACACCAATGACTATCATGTGAGGAGCTCAGAGAGAGCGCTTCAGCATGGCTCTGTGAGTTTTGTTCCACTGATGTTCCATGGTGTCCTTGGGAGAGGGTTGCATCTGAAGTGTAATTAATGCCCCATATGAGCCAGCATAAAGCTGCAGCTGGGGAAGGGAAATCATTTCACTGTGGTTTGATTCTTTTAGCTTACAGGCTGCTGGGGTGGAAAAGATGAATCCAATGCCCTCTGCACTGTGCTTGTGCTGCTGCTGTTACCTTGGGCCCACCCAACCAGGGCAATGGGGGGACTTAAGACACCAGTTGGCCCTGCCACAGACCAAGGGCACAGGGGGTCAAGGGACTCAAAATACCACTCTCTCACAGGTAATACTCTTCTGTAAATTACTTTTAACTAAAGGTAATTATGCCAGCTATGCTGATAGACCATGGAGCTGTGTGGTTAGTTGTGCTTGGTACCTATGCTCAGAAACACAGCATTTCGGTGGCACCACTCAGCAGACCCGGGATGATGAAACACAGCAGCTAGGGCTGATGTGGAAAAGAACCACTAGACTTTATTCCCAAATGGCATTTATAAAAACATACAAAGACACAATGGAGGATGGGGGAAAGCATGGCCCATGCGGTGCAGCATGTCCAGGTCCGTGCTGTCAGCACCTGCAGAGCAAGCGGCCAACAGAGGGAAGAGACGCAGAGGAGGCAGCTCCTGGCCAGGTCCAGCAATGGACCTGCTGCACTGCCCAGACCATCCACCCACTGCTGAAGTCGCTGCAGTTCAGTGCCGGGACTCCAAGACATGAAATGCAACCACTGACCTGGACTTTGTGTCAGACTGGTGCAGGGAAGCCAGGCCCTGCTCCCACCACAGGGGCTCGTACCTGGAGGGCACAGTCACCTCTCCCTCCAGCTCTGACCAGCAAAGAGAAACTCTCGGTCCACAAGATGCACCGAAGTCCCAGACCACCTCTGCTCTCTGCAGACTCCCAACATCAGCTTTTCTGGTCCATGTGGTGCCAGCAGACGGGCTCGGACCCACCTTCCCCTGCAGCAGGCACCAAAGGTCCTTCTAGCAAGGACCCGATATCCTTCAGCCACCTGAGATCCAGCATGTGGCCTCACTGTGAGAGCGGATGGGGCACATGGCAAGCCCAGCAGAAACACAGTTCTGATCCATCACAGCTCAGACCATGCTGGCTGATGCTATCCTCTGTGCTCTGTGCAGAAAGCACCCCCCCACACCCCCAGAGCTGCTTATTCCTTGAGCAAGCTTTTTACCCCCGAGCAGATAAATAAAACCAAAAGCTCTTCCTTTATCCCACAGCATCACTAAAGCACACACAATCCCACATGCCCTTTCTTGTCCCAGCTGCACAGTTGTTGCTCTGCAGGACCACAGCCAGATGCACAGCCGGAGGAAGGACCAGCCTAGCCTGCAGTAGGGTACCACCAGCACCACACCTGGCTGGTCCTGGGGAGGGGGTGGCCAGCAGGGGAGCAGCCCTGCAGGGAAGTGCCGTGGAACAAGACCCCTTCACCCCATAACAGGGCATTCGTGGGACTGGTATGCTGAGGGATCTTTCTTTGGTCTACTCTTGTGCAGGGGGGCAGGGGAAGAACCGCCTCCAGCCTGGCAGACCAGGCAGCGTGGGGAAAGTTGGGGAAAGGCTTTGTGAAAGCAACGCATCCATCCAGGGACTGAGATGAGGTGGAGGGACAGCTGTCCTTCATCCACAGCAGCCTTTGAAAAAGGCTTTGTATCCTTAATGCTTGGGGTGTTAGCAGATATTCTTGGATTCCTCATTCTCAACCCTATTCCTCTGTGGAAGAAGAGCCCAGGGGAGCCTGGGAAGCCTTAGGAGGTTGCAGTTGGCTCCATCTCCTGGTAGCCAAATATAGAACCTATAATTTTTGTCCAACACATTCCTGTGATGCTGCTGGTGGCTGGCTTTCACTGAGAGACACACACGTACCAGTGCTGTTGGTACTGCTGCTGCAGTCCATTTAACTGTGCTGGGCTAAAGTTCCCAAAGTGGTGCAAGTCTAAAAGTGGCCACTCTCCCTCCTCCAGGTTGGAAAGCTTCCCTTATTTTCAGTCTTCTACTTCGTGAGGCTTTGCTTGCTCCCCACTGGCAGTTTCCAGCTGGGATGAAGGCATTTGCTGGGCAGGTTTCTTGTGTAAGTCAGTCAGTACCCCACAAAAGCTCAACGGCACCTCTGGGGAATGAGGAGCTGCAGACGTGCCCTGGAGATGCAGCAGAGCTGGAGGCCCTGATGCCAGTCAGTGCATTTCACGCCAGCTCCCAGGTCCTTATGATCCCTGGTGAAAACGCTCCATGCACCTGCACTACAGCTGCCTCAGCACAGCACTGGCACTCTCTTGTGCAAGCACCAGAGACATTGGGCTATAGATGACACCAGATCCGTCTCCAAGACCTTGAGATGAGGCCCCCAAGTAGGTCTACGTGGTGGGAGAACGACCTTCAAGCTGTAGGTTGAAGGCCCATTGGGCTAAACAATGTACAAATACTTTTTGGTGGACAGATGAATGATCCTTGCTCCAAGAGCTTACAGTCTACAAGAATAGAGCCACAGCTCCACCACTATACAGACATTACACCTATTTACACCCACAAACATTTTGGTCCCAGCAGAACATGTCTTTCAGACCAATGGCCCGGCAATCAGCTGGTCTGGGGGCAGGGACTCAGCCACTCACCTATTTTTCTTAATTTCCAATGCCAGATCATTTCTAGCCATTATTCTTTCCACCTCTGGTTTGGATCCACAGCCCCAGTGTCCTCCCCTGGCCCACGGAAGAAAACACAGTATCAAAACAAAGTCCTTTCCTGGCTGCTGAGCCCTGGGGCCCGCCAGGGTCTCCCTCATTGCCAAGGAGGCGATGGATGCTGGGCCAGAGCAAGAAATGGATGAGAAGTGGGATGATACCGGACCCAGCTCTCCCCCGTTTCAGCCTCACAAGCTCTTGGCACTGTGCTCATCACCCTGTTTGCAGAGGGATGAGAATGGAGGGGGGCAAATCCCTCCGTTTCTGAGCTCCAGTCGAGGGCAGCGGGGAGAAATCCAGGCTGCCATGATGCTGGGACATGTGTCTGACAAAGCTTTTCCGAGGGGAGATATTAGTTGGTTAGTTTTTATCTCGGTAAGGCACACCCTCCCCCATCACAGGTCAGCACCCCAAAACCTTCCAGACGCCTCTGTGTCTGCCCGTGCCCCTAGCACGATGCCGGGAGACCCAGCCAGAGGCCTTACAGAGCATGCCTGTTCCTGCAGGCTGCCGGGCGGGTGCTTTAAGGCTTTGAAATATAAGGCGACCCCGAGGCTCACCAAGCACCCCAAAGCCCCTCTCCGTCACACTGCACAGACCCCAGCCCCCCGAGAGGCTACTCCTCAAGGCCATGGGGATGGAGAAGGGGAAGGCCCTGGGTCTGGGGGGCACAAGGAAGCAGGAGAGGACGATGTTTCTATCAGGGATTTGGAAAGCACCCTCAAGGGAATTCAGGTCCCTCCAGGTTCATTTACTTTTAACAAGCAAACAGACAAAGGCTGCTCGGTGTCCTAATGACATCTGTTAAAAACCTTAGCTAGGAAAAATATACCCTTGGTAAGTCTCTTCTCCATTTTAACCATGTTTTACATCCAAGAAATTAGAGACCAAGACTATGATTAAATAAACACCAGCTCATCACTTAGCTCTTCCCTCCCCCACCTTCCTCCTTCACTCCTGACGTTAATTTACAGTTTGGGTGATTCTCTGCCAAGCCTCACAGGAGCCAGGCAGCTCAGCCCGAAAGCTGGTTGTCCCTCCTAGGCTCCAGGCTCTCCGCCACATCTTCCAACTCATCCAGGATTTCAGAGAAAGATGGCCTCTTAAATGCTTCCACCTGGAACGAGAAGGGGAAGATGAAAGAGACATCCTGGACAGGAGGTGAGTGCTCTGCAGCAGCTCTGTGAGGTCCCCCAAGGCTGGGCAGTGGTGTCCATCCATCCATCACTCACACTCGTCTGCATCACATGCCTGCTGGTGGAGCCTTCCAGCATCACCACTTGGTGACCCAGGCCTGGGCTGCTGCAAAGGAGCAGCTGCAGGACAGGTCCCATGGTTCGGCACAGCTCCAAAGGCAGGGAGGTGCTGAAAAGCAGCCTGACACACTCTGACCTGGAAGGGGTGCAGAGACCACTCATCCCAAAGCCCACCCAAGCGGTGCAGGGGCAGGCGTTCTGCAGGAAAAGGTGGTATCAGTAGGGAGGTGTACCATTCCCTGAGCTGCTTCACCAACAGGCAGGATCTGTCTTGTCTCCCTGATGCAGCTCATCCTCAGCCCTCCCAGTGCCATCGGGGTGTACCCATGTGAGCAACCTGGCACTCCCATCCCACATCCCCACCATCCCATTCCATCCTGGGGCTGCCCTTTGTGCCTGACCCCAAGGAGCATCAGCAGCTCCCCAAACCCATGCACTGCACAGGGGCAGGGGAGAACAGACCCAAGGGCCTTCTATGGCAGAAGCCTGTTACTATACCAACTGGCACTGGGAAGCTGCCCATCAGATACACCACCTGAACACACATGAGCTAAGCTGGCTGCTGACGTGGATCACCCCTCTGATTCAGGGCAAGGCATTCACACGCCCCTGGGACCCACACAAGGATTTCCTTCTGTTTGCTGCTGGAGCTTCTAGCAATTAGGTGCACTGCGACCACCCAGCTTCTCCACCCTGCCTGATCACTGCCTTTATTTTTCTCTTCCCTTCAGAGACTAACTTGAACCCTCGCTTTCTCTCTGCTTTGCCTTCTGAGACTTCAGGCAGCATGGGGCAGCCCCCAGCTTCCACCATTACCTTTTATGCTAAAGCAAGAAAGGTTGGAAAGCAATGCTCTGATGATCTCTGCAATGCCAGGGATGGTAACAGCGAGGCAGAGCCCTCCAGAGAGGATCAGCTGGGTGCCTCTGCCCACAGCCTGGCCTGAGGAGGGACTGGGTATCATCACCAACCTGCTTCCCACTCTGGGGTCAACATGCAAGGGAACAGGCAGGACCTTGGGATGTTTCGGGCTATAACACACAAACTAAACACTTCTCCTAGGGGCAAAACTGCACTGTGAATGAAAGTTTTCTACTGGCCCCTGAAGATCTCATCACTTCACTGCTCAAGTGGCAGAGCCCCATGTGCTTGCACCGAGAGCAGCAAGTTCAAGCTCTCCAGGGTTCACAACAATTTTGGTCTCTGTCATACAAATGTGATACAAATCACACAAGGAAAAAGAAAAAACCAAAGGAAAAACCAAAACCAAAGGAAAAAGAAAAAAAAAAACAAACCAAGCAAGAACCTCACCCGACAGCAGCTAGCAGCGAGGTCCATCACCTGCTTGGGGCATTCACTGATCATCCCTTGGAAGGCAGCAACATCCAAGCCATAATCCTGTAGGGAAGGGGGAAGAGTATGGTAGAAAAGCCTTCATCTCTGAAGACCTTTAAAAGATCATCATCCTTCTCAAGGTGTTAAAGCCCCAAAATGCTCATGGTTTAAGGTTTGTAGGGTCTCCATCCCAGCTATTTTCTTGATGGCTTGGATGCAAAGGTACTGGGGCAACATCAGCTCTGGCAGGACTGCGGAGATGGTAAATCATTCCTTCTGCTCGCTCTGTGTTGTCCCTGCAGGGCAGCATGTGACCACCTGGAAAAGCTCAGGCTAAGGCAAGAAGAGCCACAAAGGCGTACTCCAGGCAGGCAATGTGCTGCCCAGTAGAGGAACCAGCACCAGATGCTGAGCAGTGGCTACCGAGGACAGGAACCGCAGATAATGCGGTCTTCCAACAGCAACTGATGGTTGAAGGGGGTGCAGCCAGCTTCTTCCAGAACTACAACAGCTTTGTCCCTCCAGATGTCAGAGCCTCTGATACACAATTCTCCTTCATCTTGTGAACAGAGATCATAGAATCACAGAATTGTTGAGGTTGGAAAAGTCCTTTAAGATCACCAAGCCCAACCCTTCCCCTAACCCTGCCATCCCACCACTAAACCCTGGCCC